ACTAATGCATGAAAATCCTAACCTCAAAAAAATCACCCGTTAAATACTTTCTAACCAAAGTTCTCAACAATACCTTTCATTGCATGTCCTTATTGCTATGCTTTAGATAAATTGTGTAGAATCGAAAATAAGTGGCAACCTTACACTATTGTCCTAAGAGATAACATTTTGTATTGTTTAAGAAATTTCTCTGGGTATCTATGAATAGTAATATTTTACCTTTTTTTCTAAACAAAAAAATATACAATACAATTTATTCCTAGGCGAATTCATATAATGCGGTGACAGCAGAAGTTCAAAAACAAAAATTCCACTGAAAAATTTTACGCAAAATGACATAATAATTACTACAAATTCAACATTTTGACATTAAAAATCCCCGAGGCGAAAATCCAGCTGCTTTGGTAGCACCATCTTTCGCTTTCATTTATTCTAAATGAGTAAAAACTATCTAATATTGTCTCTTTTAAAAAAATATGTACCAACTTCTACCAATTGGTTTGGGCCGAGACCAAATACCACTTTCCCATTTGACTTTCTTTGTCGCTCTTCCCGAATACAGAAAAGGTACTTCTGCACTTGGATATTCCATTGTATTCGTGGGCGCGCTGCTTTCATTTTTCAATTAATATTGCGAATACGATATGGATATAGAAAGCTTAAATTCTGATATAGTTTTGTAGCAGCTGAATCACTACACGGGCCTGATAAAACCCTGTCTGGTTTAAAGGCATCAAGGTGGCGATTCTTCATGAAGTCATGGCATGAAAAATCAGTTGTTTAAATACTTTGATAATTAGGAAAACGCCTAAAGTAATTTTTGCATGACAAAATGTACGTATGTACATACACCTGTACATACATCAGCTTTTGCTTAAAGTTATATTTTTTCTCTTTTTTCTATCTGCTTTTGCTTAAAGTTAAATTTTTTTCTCTTTTTTCTATCTAGATCCCTATCTCTACCCGTGTTCGTTCTAATAACATTTTTGGTATTCTGTTTTCCTTTATCTTCATCTTTATCTTTATATTCCATCGATAAAAATATCGATAGCAAAATCGATGACAAATTGGACAAAAATTTTGATAGCAAATGGATAATATTGGTAGCAAAAGTCGATCAGAAAATCCATAAAAATATCGATAACAAAAATCTATTAGAAAAACGATAAGAATTGACTGCAAAAATATCGATAAAAAACCGATAAATAATCGATAAGAAAATCGATAAACAACTGACATAAAAATCGAAAAATAATCAATAAAAAATCAATAACAATATCGATAACGACATCGATAAAAGATATCGCTAACAAATTTGATAGAAATACTAATAACAAATGCGATAATAAAATCGATAAATAATTGATAACAATACCGATAACAAAATCGATAAATATTGATAACAAAATAATTAAAAATATCGATAACAAAGTCGATAACAATATTTCTTAAAATATCGATAACAAAATCGATAAATATATTGATAACACAATCGATAATAAAATTGATAAATAATTGCTAACAAAATCTATATCAAAATCGATAACAAAAATTATAACAATATCGCAAACAAAACCGTTAAAAATGTCGATTAAAAAATCGATAACAAAGTCGATAAAAATATCACTTATTATATCCACAAGTTCAGAAAATATCGATACCAAAAACGATAACATTATCGATAAAAACTTCGATAACAAAATCAATTAAAACTATCGACTGTTATATCGATAACTCCAGAGAATTACGAAAATCTTTACAATCCCAAAATAGTTCCCAGGTTGAGTAGTAAGCTTTTTTATTAAAGTAGGTCATTCGCTTTTTGTAATCCAAGTTTTTATCATCGATCCATTTTCGCTGCTTTGAAATAATCTGCCTTATCCTGAGTGTGGCCCAAAAAAAAATTCACCCGAAAATTTTAAATCCCCCATAGTAAATACATGGAAACCAAAATTGAAAAGTGAACCGGTTCGGGGAAAATGAAATTCATGATAAGGCTGAATTTATTCTATTCTCTCTTGTTTTACTCTACTAACTAGCGCAGGCAATTTTTGCAGCACTTAAATTGTAGTTAAATACTATGAAATTTCATCTTGAATATCTCTTTTTCATTTTACAAACTCTTCTCTGTACCGTTGTGTTTGTTACAGCTTAAATGCCCCCATTAGTGCTTAATCAATTTTCATGCATAAGTTTCCAACTCTTTGAGTATTAACTCATTGATCTTTCACTTGGAAACTTTTGAAAACGTATGTACATGTGTATATATGCATGGGTGTATATTTGTACAAAACTAGGAAAATTCGATGAAATTTTCATTAGGTTTCATGAAAATTTCCAGCTTTTTGACTAAATTCTTTAGAAATCTTTTGGGTATACAATTTTTTAGCCCTTTGAATTTTAGCACAATATGATGAAAGTTTGAAGTTCCTACAAATTACCGTCGATTTTTGATTTTTTGTTTGTTTGTGAACTGTCTCTTAAATAAAAATAATGCCACTTCCTCATACACAAAAAAAAAATTCAAATATTAATGGTAACTTGAAGAAACTTCAAACTTATTTCACTAACATTCCAATTATTTCAAAAAAATCTAATAAACAAGCTGGAAATTTTCATGAAAATTAATGGAAATTTTATTGAGTTTTCCCAGTTTTTGTACAAAGCCTGGAATTTTATTCAACTATGAATAAAAAAAAACAAAATTACAAAAATTGTTTGACATGAAAGACTTTGCGATTATTAACAAAATACTTTCTTTCGTTGAGCTGCTTCTTTTGACTGGCAGCAACTGTATGTACGCTGAGAAATATTGTCATTTTCATTTTGCTTACAAAGGAAGGACAAGAAGTACACTCGAATATTTGCCATGGCGTTTTAGAATTTTTTCTAAAACTTCTAAATGTTTTGAATACCAGAAATCGAATTTACTTGACATTGATAAAAAATTACATCTTTAAAGACATTAATATCGAAAATACTGTGATCCGGAGGCACGGCTTTGAAGTTTAAAATAAATATTTTTTTGATAATCTAAGAATAAGTAACTTCAGAAGGTTTCAAAAAATAAAATACACATGCATGACAGTTTTATGTTTTAAAGATTTATGAGGAAAAATATTATTTTTTTAACCATAAAATTTGAACAATTCCATGAAAAAATATAGTTCAAACTATATGTATGGAAAACTTCAATGCAACGGCGCGCGGTTATATATTAGCCGATTTAAAAATAGCAGATCTCCTTATTTGCGATGTTCTTCAATAGTAAGGGGTCCTTTGGCTACAAAAAAAATTTAAATTTGTTTTAATACATGCTAATGCATTTATGTTATTTAAAGATAATTTATTTAAAAGATCTGTGATAATTTGCAATACCTTTTGCCACAGTTCAATGATGTGTCGCAAAATCAAAGAAGCAAGTAAATCAACCGAAATTTGTATTCGAGCAAGGAGAAATGAAAATAAAAAAATTGAATTTTCACTCAAAAGTGTTGGTTAATTGAATAGTATACTATAGTAGGTTTATATATAGTACATACAAAAGAGAAATAATTTGTTGCTTGCATTGATGTTGCTCATACGCCATGTAGGCGGATGAGACATGGAGCTTAGAGTAAGAAATAAATTGAATTTTCATATGTATGTGCGCATATGTACATAAGCGTGTATGTCAAAATAAATAGAACATGAAAAACGACGTTATAAATAAATTAAAACTTGCTTATATAAATAAAACAAAAAATAAATTTAAATAATATTTCACATTTCAACACTTCGCCGACAGCTATCTAGTTTGTCGTTCTCTAAAAATAACTGAATGAAAAAAAAGTAAACGTATATATGTATGTATGTGGTTATTCATGTACATATTTTCTTTTCATTCAAAACAAATGCGGTTTTGGCAGAAAAATATTTATTTTGATTAATAACATACATAACTTTTCTCTGAAAAAATTGTTAATGATTCCAAAATTTTTAATAAATATTTTAATAATTTTTTGTCATCGAATTATTTTGTC